CTGGGCATAGCGTCACAGGTAGCTAAGAGCTCTTAGAACTCTGGGACGCCGCCCGAGGCCTCATTATAGGGATGGCTCTGGGTTTGCCTGTGGGCTTCATACAGTGTACATATACGCTGCAGTGGACAAGGTTAGTGTGAAGCTTTCATTTTACACACGTTATCATTGAACATGTCATGATCATTTTGCTGGAAAGCTAATACCCTGTTTCCCCGAAAATAAGACCTACCCTGAAAGTAAGACCTAGCACTATTTTTCAAGATTCCTGTAATATAAGACCTCCCCCGAAAATAAGACCTAGATTGGTGGTAGCATGTGAGGGGGAACGTGAAGAGCAGGAGAGATGGTATCAGCCTGCAGGGACATACTGTATTAAGGGGATGACGGGGGACTCCCTCCGGCCAGCGCAGTGACAGGGAGCACTCCAGTACCATACTTCACCAACTGCTGTCCCCCTGAAGGCACTGCTTAATGTAATGGTACTGTACTGTACTGTGTACCGGTAAATGGTACTGTTCTTTACCGCGCTGTCCACTGTCTGATGTCCCCATTGCTGCACCACTGGTACCACTGTCCCTGGTGCCAAAGGAAGCCTGCACTGCATAAAGCAAGGCTTCGGCGGCGGAGGGAGCAGAGCCGCATTAGCTGATATTCCTCTATAGCGCCAGTTACTGTGACAGGTGGAGTGATACCACAAAACTTTAAATTGTTGTACATTTTGTTGCACAGTAAAAAATTAAAAAAATAAGACATCCCCTGAAAATAAGACCTAGTGTGTTTTTGGGGGGCAAAGAAAATATAAGACAGTGTCTTATTTTCGGGGAAACACGGTACCAGCTGACTGATCCTTCCCCGCGTGTTGGTGTGGAGGGAAGTGATGACACTGCTACCACCTAGTGGCGCTCTCAGCATACTGCGGGTGACCATAGATGTGTATAGAACACCGTGCGGTGTGTGCAGGCTGATCGCTGTCCAGTCTGTAGTACCAGGAACCGTGGGGAGCATAATATGGAGGAACGCTCCGGGTATGTAACCAGCTCCACTAATGTTTATCTTCTCTAAAAAAAAAAAAACTACATTTCTGCCATGTGATACAATCATAAGGAATGATATGAACTCTCCACGTTCAAACTGTATCCCTGTTCTTACATGCATTGTAACCAGAACAAGCCATATAGAATGTGGCTTTGAAGGTACTAGTCCGTACTAACTATAGTACAAATGATAGAGTAATGTGATTGAATCATTCATACAACACTGCGAGGTATCGTTCATGTGGTCCCATCATAATGGCTGTGAGCTGCTGGGGGGATATTGCATAGCAAACACAGCTCCCTGTGAATGTTCGTAATATTTCTGGACCTTTTGTATTATTGGTTTTAAAACGATATTTTGCATTACAAATTAGGTTTTATTATCCACACTGAATACGCAGTCCCATTCATTATAGTTTGTTACCTTTGTACTACAATTCTCAGAGGAGAATCGGGGACTCGTCCTGCTGATGACATAGTGTACTCCTGCTATACGTGGCCTCTGATCAATCTCATAGCCCGTCTGTGTAATGCAAAGCCACGCACACATCAGTGCAGGGAATGATCGCTCATGCATGTAATTTTACATATAGATCCTTCAGATATTATAAGCCTTGTATAGGTTTATGATCTCAGCACACACTCCTAGTAAAGTTTACAGCCGATCCAGCGCTGACTTGTGATGAATGACTGCACGATGTTCAGTCTGTGCCCACGTGTTACAGCTGTTTGCTTCCGCTTCCCACGTGGCTTTCTGCCATGATGACACTGCGCCCGCGCAGTAGTGCGTGTCTGCTTTTGTAAGCGGGGGCGCTTTGCATGTCATTCCTGATTGGACAGACGCAAAGCTCGTCCAATGTTTACCAGAGCCTGGACCTGGGGAAGAGCAGCACAGCTCTGGCCTGGTCGGGCAGTGGGGGGCGGTGAATGAAAAAGGGCGGGGATGTCGCCTCCGGCGCCGCCCACTGAGTGACGGCTTATGTTAGTGCACCGTCTGGAGTCTCGGGCCATTATTCCGGGGAGCGCGGTCGGAGGTGTCTGCTCAGGATCGGAGGCAGGAGTGTGTTCAACACCAAAACAACGTCAGCAGCCGCCTCCCCCGGGGGAGAGAAGACATCGCAGTGTGGGTGTATTTGTATATATGTGTGATTGTGTCTACCTGACCATCCTGGAGGAGGGAGCAGGCCAGGCGAACAGATAGTGGATGTGTGCCTGATCTCCGATTCATCTGTGCATGCTGCCTGTCTCTGCTCGTCCTGTGTATGTGTTCTCATTGTTCCAAGCCATCTATGTGTGCCATCTGTATGCCGAGTGTGATGGTGATGATGGAACAAAAGGCCGGAGGGGAGCAGGTCTGAGCCATCATCTGATGCTGGGAATAGCCCGGCTATGACGTGTTGTCACCCTTCACAATCCATCCATCGCTTGTCGATATGAGGTCATTGGTGCCTATTTCCCATCACACAGTGCAGGCGATGTTGTCTCTTTGTGATGTGTTGCAGTGACAATACCAGTGACAGCTGTCAGATTCCTTTTTTTTCTGGAGCACAGTGCCTATCCATATGCAGAATTTCTCAATCTGAGATCACCACTGCACCATTTTCTTTGGCAGTGGACACTGTTACGTCAAGAAGCTGCTGAGATCACATCTAGGATTCCATGTATCTCTAGCTAGTAAAGCTGCCCATACACCATGTGACTTGTGATTGAACAAAATGTGATTTTCAAATAGTTCATGATCGTTTTCAACCACAATGACAAAAAATAAATCAAAGGAGCAGAATGGAAAGTTTTGGAACATAATTCTAACAGTGATTGTGATTTTTGTTCTGGAAACTTCACTCATTTCAAAAATCGAATGGTAACATCAAAAACGTCGAATGACAATTGTCAAGTTTCTGAAACCATTATCAAATGTTCTGATGAATATTTTTTTTTTTGTCTGAACATTCATATGAGCATCTAGCGGTGTATGGCCAGATTTACGTTTCATTTATCTGTTTGCTGATGTTTTTTTTTACTCAATGGGTATTAATATTCTTCATTGGCCCATTTCCTGTGAAGTTGGCAGCAGTAGTCTGATGAAATGTCATTGTCATATACTAGAGAAATTATTTGTATATTGTCACCAGCTGCTGCTGCAGCTCATCAATTAAGTTTGGTGAACATTTGCTTTTGATTTAATTAAAGGGATTTTCCCCCTGCACAGTCTGATGCACCTATATTGGATTAATGTCATAAGAAATAGAACTGAGCGGTGGTGGGGGGGGTCACCAGGAATTAAAGTGTACTTCCACTTTCTCAGCCACACACCCAAACTGTATATGTGTCCCTATTCACACAGCATACTTCAAATAGTTGCAAATTATATTTCTTACCTTTTTCCAGTTTTCTTTTGGGGCAGGATTATACATAGGACTCTAGAGTGCTTGGAGTGTTGACAATAGCTAGGGACATTTTTCTTAGTGTGTGAAATCCAAAGTACCACCCAGGCCTTTAACCCTTTGTTAGGCCACATCTTGTTTACAACTGCCCATAAAGATTTACTAGCACAGTACAGACAGGTTTAATTAAGGTAAACAGAACTCCTCAGCTCCCTGCTTATTATGTAGAACGGGAGAGCTTACCGGTAGTAAATTTATTAGGAAATAAAAAAGATAACCAGACATTTTTTCATGTTTTAAAAAAGATATAAAATATGTGAATGGGAACATGTAACTAATAAAATAGGTGTTATGCCAACTTGGCTGCAAAGATGGAAATACAATTTAAAGGTGCAGATCGATCTGCTTATTCAGGTCTTTGCTCTATTAGGCCCCTGTGTTTTTTGTTTTTTTTTGGATAATGCACATAAGGTATTAAAAGCATGTTCCACATTTTTAATAAATAAAAAAAAAAGTTAAATGAAAGGAAAAATACGCACTTAATTTTTTGCATTGCAGCCTGCAACTGCGCTCAGTGGATCAGGGGTGCAATGCTCAGACTCCTGCAGACTCTTCCTCCAGCCCCAGGAAGTAATCGATGGATTACAGATGTGGTGATGTCACCTTACTTGCACCATTGAGATCTATGTGTCCGTCTTAGAATATGGTAGATCCCATTGCACTCCTGACCGGAAAACCCCTAAGCGCAAGGGGGGGGGGGGTTGAAGCAACCGCAGAAACTGTAACTGGTAGAAAGTCACTCACACTCCAGAAACTTTTGTAGTCAATCTTCTTTATTGACCATCAAAGTGTCACATAACTTTAACCAAAGTTATATGACACTTTGTTGGTCAAAAAAGTTTCTGGAGTGCGAGTGACTTTCTACCAGTCTGTCCCTCTGATACAATGGCAGGTGGGACTTGTAGTCTTTTCATTCCGAACTCCTGTGACTGGATGTGTGAATGAATGGTGTGACAGTATGGATGGAGCCACACCTAATTCAAATGTACACTGAATAGGACAGGGAGAAGAACCCTATGATTCAGGGGATGGAAAGTGGTCTGAAAGGTGAACTTGGCTTCTCTGTAGATAAAAGGGAACAAAAGCCTAACATGTACAGTAACTAGCACTAGTTAAAATGTATATAAAGTGATTTCTTCTAGAACCAGAGTATACCGATCAATGTTTGACTGGATTACCTGCCTTGCAAATTGGAGGAGCAGGGCTACAAAATAAAACTAGAGTCTCAGTGTATGATTTAGAGCTCCAGCCTACTAATTTGCTTCAAAAAGTAATTTTTGAATCCTCTAATAGCTTGTTTACACTGGGACTCATACATGATGAAGGGACATATTTTTGATGTCTTGGACCTTCAATGTATGTCATTGGTTTTGTTTCACTGCAGATAGTGACATCATGTTGACTGATGATTTATAAGATTCCTTAAACTCCTGCTTTTATTTTGGTTGATGGTTCTGTTTTTTGTGGTGTTGTGATCTCTGTATACACTTATTATATAAAATGTCTTTTTTCCCCCTAACAGTATGGCAGACTACCTAATTAGTGGAGGCACTGGATACGTTCCAGAAGACGGACTCACTGCCCAACAGCTTTTTGCTAACTCTGATGGTCTCACTTACAAGTAAGTTATTTTTTTTGTGTGTAGTAATTAGTTATGTGATACTAACCATGTTAATCACAAAAGTGTGAAGAGACCCACTATATACACTGTTTTGAGCATTCACGGGGCATATAGAGTCTCTCGCTGAGCAGCCAGTCACCAGCACTGTATTATGGGGGGAGGAGAAGAGTCGTATGCTTCCTTATAACCAGAAATGCCAGGTATGGCACTTTGCATTCTGAGGTGAATGGAGTGACAGGGGAATAAAAGGAGGATGAACAGAATGAGTTGCAAGGAATGGCATTAAAGTGAACCTATGTGCTCCACATGGGCAAATCCAGGTGCTCTTACAATCCTGTGTCAGATTGCCACATCTGATCTGTTCACATTTAGGCACCTGAACTCTGTGGCATCACACTTTTTTTATTTTTTCCTGGTTTTCTCAGTAATTAAAGTGTGTGCGCATCCAACACATTTTTTTTTTTTTTTGAACAGTGAAGAAGGATTAGACTTTACTGTTGTCCGGGGCTGTTAAAAACAATCTTCTGCCTGGTTGAACACCTCTCATGGTTTCACTTGGCAGGAAATGAGAACTAAGCTGCAATAGGGACAAAGACCTAAATAAAGTTCATAGGGGTTCTAGTCTAACCCTACACTACTGGGGGGTAAAAACAAAAACATTTTCATGTCTGCCTGTTTTGCTGCTTGGAAATGTTCCCATCTGGTGAAACCATTGTCACCATGATGGGGAGTGAGGGGAAACTCTTAACAGTAACAACCAGACAGGGGTTCTAGTTCTTCTCGATTTACATCCAAAATAAAGTATGTCAAGCCAAAACGTGTTTTAATTAACACGGTAGTGTCCTATAACAAAACCCTTGTAATAGGCTAAATATCCATCTGTTTATGGCTGCTGGAAGAGAACACCAGAATGGACAAAACATATCTTGTTAGAATTTGATATGAAAGTCAGAAGAACAATATGTGGTCTACCATTGCTGGCCTACTTCTTAAAATGCTAGTTCAGCAGTTGTTAAGTGGACCCACTAGCTTTTCAAGTCACCTCTTTGAAATAAGAATGCAGATCAGTAAACGTAGAGAAAAGGGAGAAGCCCTTCTCTGCTTACTGATAGTGGGATAGTGAATCAAAATATTGTAGCAAGAGGGAAATGAAGGTAAAGTTTGGTGATACTTTTAATGGGGGTGGAGAGTGAGGGTGTGTATGTGTTGTGTGTGAGAGTGGTGTTAACTTAGCCTTTATTATGTAAATGGAAGCAGCACAAGAGGAATACATAAACAGGCAGAGCAAAGAACAAAGATGATTTTGAAAGTGCATCAGTTGTCAGAATCCTCAGATTTTCAGCTTTGATAATTTTACAGCAGATAAAATGACTGCCGTTTGGTTTAAATGGGTTATCACACTATACATGGTGTTGTTTTTCTTTCACTTTGGAGTTTGTGATATCCTTCACTGCTTAACTCAAGAGTTAAGATGCAAGCTTTCAAAACAAGTATCATTCTTCACAAAGAAACTTTTTAAAAAATCCAGTCTTTGTGAGATCTGCCAGTGCAGTACAGACAGGGTTAATTCCTGGACAAACTATCATCTGCTTATTTTATTTACATTTAAGTGGTATGTAGTCATGAGAGAAGTGCAGTACTTGTGGCACCAGGTAGGAGGAGGTATCCTGAGACATGAAGGCCAAGGCCATGATAGCCTAGCCTGCACCTCAATCCAAGAAGTAGGTTATGTCCATTCTTGGGGGACAGCTGGCTACTATGAGCATTTACACCTTGTTTGAACCCCCTGACTGATCTAACTAGGAAGAAAATGTCTAATCTGGTGTTTTGGGTACGAGTGTGAGGAAGGCCTTCCAAGCCATGGAGGAGGCCCTGGCCAGTGTTCCTTTTCTACATTTTTCAGAATTCCCCTTTTTTTTTTTTTTTTTTTTTTTTTGGTGCAAAGCGATGCTTCTGCCTATAGCTTAGGTGTGCTCATGAGACAGGTGGATCAGACATGGGAGGAATATCTCATCCTCTACCTGAGGAGGAATCTACTCCCCAGTTAGGTAAAGACTGTCACAATAGAGGGGTACCCTTGTGATCGTGTGGGCACTGCAGAAGCAACTACCTATATGGCTACTAATCACAAACTACAATCCAATTAGCTGGGGGAATGCTGCTGGGGAGAATGGCAAGTTACTCTATTGGAGCTTGATTTTTACCATACAGCATAAAGTAAGGCTGATTTTGGCTGATTCAGCAGAAATTGTCAGAAATTTAATCCGTGGGGGGGCCCTATCCCCTCGACATCGATCATTAGATTGACTTTTGCCAAAGGGACATGCTTGAAAGCCATCCGCTGAATAGCATTTCCAATAAATTCAAAAGTCTGTAAAGAGATGGTCAGATTAAAGTCTCCTGAAAGTTGGATGGATTTACAGCTGCCCACGTGACTCCTGACCGAAAGCAAACAGTCTGCAGAAGGCATGTATAGAAACTCCTGGCTGCTATATCACCTGGTATTCTGCTTACAGGTTCCCGCTGCCAGCAATGCAAGTCTTGTGTCTGGCAGTGGAAGGGTTAAATCTTTTTTTTTTTTTTTTGTGGAGCCATTTTTCTTTTTATTAAATATTCAAAATCTGAATCTTTGAAATGCTCTTACTAGAAATGAAGAAACTACTGTAATGTAAAAATCTGTGTGGTTGACATGACCCAGTGACACTGGTTGGCCTTGTTTTGGTGGTTTTGTGTTCTTAGAATTACTTTTTATATCAAGTCACAAAGATTGTGTTCCTGGTACATAGCAAGGTAAAGTTATTAAGGAAGAGCAATATACACACATATATATGAGGGATGTATGCCTGTTGCGCAGAGCTCTTTTTGGGCAGAATTGTGCTGTAGAGTTCAGTAGTTCCTAAAAAAAAAAAACATTCATAATGCATGTTTTTTGTGAGATTCCTCTAGTACCTAGCTTTTCGTTGCCTAAAATGCACTAAACATGCGGGAAAAGGCTTAGGAAATGCTCAGTGTGAATGGCAGCTAAGTCTCCTGTACTGTTGAAACTGAGATAAAAAAGGGAAAATGATCGAGTATAGTAATTTAACAGACAACAGCAGTTATTTGAAGAATGACCGGCTCTGACTGACTTCAAACAAACAGCTGGTTTTTGTATTGGAGTGTACGCATTGGGGGTCATATTAGGACATACTACATTCTCCCTGGAGACTTACTGGGAGTTTACCAGGTGTATTTATATTCCCCCACAGATGTATACTGTACATACGTGTGAATGTAAGTGTGAGTTATTGTTTTTCCAGGTTTGGGGCCTTGCCCTGGAAACGGTTGTGTACACCAGTCTATATTCAGTTTTTTGCTTGCTGCATTTGTTATCTTTTTGATTTGCATGGTGTCTGAGTATAGATGAAACGTTTGTGGTCAAATGGAGGTTGTTTTTTCCTATGTAGTTGTGGTACAGCAGTGAGAATATACTTGGTGTGTTGCAGAATATGGCTTTTACAAACCGAGTTTAGTGAAGCTTAGCTATGTTTACATATGCCATGCATGCCAGGACTTAACCCCTGGCACAAACCTATACATAAAAATGTTCTGCTTTGAGATATTACCAGATCTGTTCAAAGGAATGGTTAGGAAAGTATTACATTAAATGTATGACTAGGAAAACCTATTTTTTTTTTGTATTTTGGTTTTGGATAGAGAACTCCTATTAAAGGCTTTACCAAACCCTCAGCTTTTTTGGCATATATCTACTGCTAGCAAGCAAAAAAAACCCCGCTTTAGCAGCGGTTTAAACTTACCAAGATGCTTAAAACAGCTGTTTAAGCATCTTGGGGCGGGCGCATGTGCAGTTCACATTTTCAGCCGGTACGCGAGGAAAGAAACAAGGTAAGTCTATGGGCGTGTGCACCTGCATGCAGACACCGTGGGAGAGTACGTGCCAGCAAGCTCAGAGGAGTCGGCGCTGGATCGGAGACCCGCAGCAGCGCTGGAGAGAAGGCTAAAAACCACAGGAAAGATGATCGGATTAAAAGACATAATTTAAGGTAAGTGCTTTAATTAACATTAGGGTGAGGGGGAAAAAATTGCCTTTTTAATGTCACTTTAAGTTTGCTGTTAGTGTCTTTACTCGTTGATTTGCTCTTTGTATTTGTCCTGGTGACCATCGCCAGAAAGTGAAGGCAGATCCAAAGTTTCATAGTTTTATCGGAACGAGAAGAGTGTAAAAGGTGTGTGTTTTATTTTTTTTTATTTTTTCTCTTCACTTCCTGTTAAAGCTCTTGGGTGGGAAGTGAAGGGCAATCTCCCCAACAGAAAAAAGACATAAAATATAAATGGCAAAGTGCTAGCCAGCACAGCACCAAAGCAGCCCAATATCATAACTTTATGGACCTTTACCCCCTTTGACTAAAAATCACATCAGCATACAGCTCTGCATGCTGATATGAAATCATCTTACATGTGTTAGCTAAACAAACAATATATTTTGATTTTAGTTATTTCTTTTTTTTTCACTCCCTGGTCCACTTTGGCACAAATGATGCAATCGTGCCCAAGCATTGCATCCTGGGAAGGTTACATCAGCAGAGCATTGCAGGGAAATCTCATCTGTAATCTCATGAGATCTCAGGGAAAGGCATTTTCCTCCCCTGAGATGATGTGCATGGTCACATGTCCTAGTCACATATGCCAGAGTTCAAGGAAGTAGAGGGAAATCTAGTAACATGCCCTTAGTAAACATTGCCACTGTCACAAGACTGGGCAAGAACAGAGAAATAAGGTATGTAAAGAATACAAAGCTGGAACTATCTAGAAGTATGTGTTTGTAGATTGTCATTACTAAACATTTCTAAAGGTGTGTTTGTTGTTGTTTTGAAGATATGGGTAAAGGTCCGCTTTTACCAAGCGTGACAGGAGGAATTAAAGCACTCCTCTGGCTTCCTTACTTTTGTACCATCTTCCATGTGTTGTCTCCTTTTGGTCTAAACACATTAATTGTAGGC